TGCATTTTTCGCGATCGTCATAATTGTATACGAATCTTTGCCTCTTTTTTTCCACTCAAATCATCGCCGATACTTTTACTTTTTAACTTTCCCATTATATACATTTCTTGTTCGTCTTTGGTAGTGTAAATGTGGTTGATGATTTCCTCAAATATAAACTTTTTATAACATTTTGACTGACAGCCACAACCGCTTTTAACTTTTTTTAACCAAGGTATCTTCCTCAAAAACTGTTGCTGTATCATTGTCTTCAAAGAGATCATAATTTCTGGAAAGTATATTAATTGTTTCTTCTTTTGTTTCATTTATATTTGCAAAAACAATATCGTTTTCGTTGTCATTGACATTGTCTTCAATATTTTGTAAAGCCCTTGGAAAATATTCCGCATTTACTTGATCCAATTCCTATATATACAAAAACACAACAACAGTTCAAGTTGGCATATATTTCTCTAAACTAGGTAAAATTAAGACGAAAAATTTTTTTATCAGAAAAAATAAATTTTATGTACCAATTTCTTTATTTCATAAAATATAACTTATTCGCTTTGAACTTATATACAGTCCGGGATCATTTAATCACACCGTTCAATAGTTTTTTAGGGCCCCTTTTTCATGACCTTTTGACTTTGACCTTGGAGTTTGACCCACTTTTGCTAAATTTTTTTCAGACTTTAACCTTGGCCATAACTTTTGAATATTTGGTGGTAGGGCTTTCATACTTCACATGTGTGTACCTTGTGACAAGACCTTCCTTCGTATACCAACAACTTTGACCCTTTGACCTTGGAGTTTGACCTACTTTTGAAAAAACTTTATCCTTGGTCATAACTTTTGAACAGTTGGTGATAGGGCTTTCATACTTCACTTGCGTAATCCATGTGACAAGACCTTCCTTTGAATACCAACACTTTGACCCTTTGACCTTGACCTTGGAGTTAGACCTACTTTTGCAAAACTTTAACCTTGGCCATAACTTTTGAACGATTAGTGCTGGGCTTTCATTCTTCACATATGTAAATTCTTGTGAGAAGACCTTCCTTTGGATACCAACAACTTTGTCCCTTTGACCTTGGCCTTGGAGTTTGACCTACTTTTGCAAAACTTTAACCTTGGCCAAAACTTTTGAACGGTAAGTGCTAGGGCTTTCATACTTCAAATATGTAACCCTTGTGAGAAGACCTTACTTTGGATACCAACAACTTTGACCCTTTGACCTTGGAATTTGACGTACTTTTGAAAGACTTTAACCTTGGCCATTACTTTTGAGCAGTTGGTGCTAGGGCTTTCATATTTCACAGGTGTATTTCTTGTAAGAAGGCCTTTCCTTGGGCACCATTAATTTTGACCATTTGAACTTGACCTTGATGTTTGACTCGCTTTTTAAAAAAAACTACCCTTTTCCATATCTATTCAATAATTGCTGCTAGGGTTTTCATATTTTACAGGTATATTCCTCGAAACAAGACCTTACTTTGGGTACCAACATATTGGATTTGCATTTGAGAAAGTTTAACCTTTGTTATGAGTTAGCATACGGGGGCATCAGTGTTTCACAAACACATCTTGTTTATTAGAGCGTTTGCAACACTACAGCTTCGATAAACAATCTAAATAAAAATTACATAAACATTCTGGAAGCGTGGCGAATCACTATATATTAATTTCTTAAATAGTTTTTAGAGTTTTAAGATTTTGATTTAACATCAAACTTCTGTTTTGTGTACTAAATACGTATTAAAAATTATTAATGATAAAGATTCCAAAATCTTCACTGATACTGTATATATATCTCACACATTTTCACCGCGCAAACCATAGGCCTACGGGTACATGTACTTAAACTCTCCTTAACATGAGTTATTATCATTTAACACTCAAGCCAGTGTTTGTGTAAGAGGAAATAAAAAAGAAATGATTTAGGCAATATTTACATATTTTTTTTGAGAAACAAATGTAGCACTTAATGAAAGGTATGTTCTGAGCCCCCCCCCCCCCTTCTCTCTCTCTCTCAAAAAAAACCCATCAAATATGAAATTACACTCAGCCAAAGTTAAAAAGAAATAATATTATTGGGAAACTTGTATCTCTCTCTCTATATACATGCATCACTATGCATCAATGTATTATATCTAGAATTGACATCGCGACTCGTGTGTATTGAATGTCGCGATAAGTTATAGGCCTAAACCCAGATATGATATGAATAATTCCAATTCCAAACTCACAGGTATTGACAGTCCGTGCTCAGTGATGTGTTCAGAGTTTAGCAAATTGTAAAACGTAATCACTTACATTAACAGAGCTCATGTCCTGTTTGCAAAAACAGTTTCTGACGAGATGTAAAGAGGAATGTGATAGTCATTGAATTCTAAGAATATTCAATTTAGTTCAATTCATTTATTTGGTTTTATTTTTTGATTTACCAAAGAAATTTAAAATATTAACAATGCTACTGTGTCTTTAATTCAAGGAGTGCATTAAATTATCAATAGCCATATTGTGGGAGAAACGACAATTCTTTAAAATACTTCATAAATAAAGTACAACGTCTCTCCTAATTCAAAAAAAATAATTTTCTATTTTTACTTTAAAAATACTATTTGTATATGCTGTACTTATACTTTTATTACCGTCTTCCTTGGAAGACGGTATACAGAGTTGAAGTATTTTACAGTCTTCGGACTATGCACTTCCTCTTTTTTTGTGATTGGTAGAAATTACATGATGAGAAAATTTTCAATTATTTCATTGGTTGAAATGCTGTTCAAGGCAAGGAAGATAATTTTCTGATGAAGTAATTTTCGTACGACTTAACATTTTTTCAAGATTTTCAATCGTAAAAAAATATGACAAAACGAACAGTGGAAATTGGCAGTTATCATGCTATTTTTTTTATAGCAATTACCAAAAATCGTTTCTATATTTTCATTGTAACAGAATTGATCTTTATTGCTTACAAGCTTTACAGCCTGTATGTATTTTTTCCCCCCTTTGTTTTGCTGTGTCTTACTGAATCTCGGCAGCAATCGAAACTTCTCGGACCTTTCCGACAAGCGGAAAGAAAGACCCGAGATGATGCGATTGTCTCGGAAGCACTCAGCAACACCTCGGTCGATTCATACCTCATCTACATATCACAAAGGTGACGGAATCAGCCAAAAATGATCCCTACAGCAGAATCTAAAGTTTACTGAGACAGTCGAGCATCTGTTAACTTTTCACTTGGTAGGGCTTATTTCAGAAAAAAACTAATGAAGATATACAAAGCTAAGAAATTTTCAAGAATTATACGGCCTGATAGGTTTAGGTCAGTTTACTGTTTATGGTTGTTGCTAAAGAGACGGTAAGCTTCTTGAAAAAGCTCTACTTGTAGTTCTGTCATAATAAGCATTTTGCATTGCATTTCTTCATTTATATACATTTGTTTATAAGTACATGTACATAAAAATGAGAAAGATTTTTCCCCTTAATTTAGGAAATAATTGCATGATTGTGCATGTACAACATGTACTTTGTAAAGATATTTAATTTAAATAATTATAAGTCATATTAATTATTCTGCACAACGCGTTATCTGATTGGTTGTAGATTATCACGTGAAAGGGCCATAAAAATTCACATTTCCCCGTCATTCCTCTTCGGGACCTAGTGCATTTCCCAGCAAAATACGTCAAATAGCTTGGATCACGTCACAAAATTGCTGATTATTTCATCGGAGTGTGTTATGTCCAAGGGACTTCTGTAAAATGATTCAGTAACTTAACGTTAAAATTGAAAGCCGAATTTGAAAGTTTGTGTTGATTTTAAAAGTTTTTTTTTTTTCTTGTTTCGGTTAAATAAACATTTTATTGCATGAATGTTCGAAACACTCGTGAAATATGATTTTCCTCGGCTAAATAAATCCTCATGTTTTTCCCTCACGATCATGCAATAAATGTGTAGTAGTGACGGAAGTGTATAGTTGTGATTATACATGTGACCATTTTATCAACATCTTTCAGATGAAGTTCCTGATCACTGCATGTATCATATCATTTACATTTGGTCCAAACATACTCTGCACTTTACAAGGTATGTGTATTAAATCTTAAGGCAATGTGAAAAAAAAAAATCTGAATTTCTTTTACATTTCGGTTTAAAATCCAGTTACGATTTAAAAAAAACAACTAAATAAAAATACAAAAAGTACTGCAGTATTTGAGAATACCATCATCTTTTTTTCTAAGCAGTGGAAGTCTTGCTTCCTATGGAGATTTGAATATTCAATAAAACAATTCAGAAACATTTTACTATGCAATAGTAGGAAGCAATGTTTTGTCAAAGGGAACACTTTTTTGAAGAGTTTTTTTTTTTGTCTGTATATTTTGATTGTATTCAAATAGACATTTAATATGAGAATATGCGCTTAAATGTAAACTGGGGGAAATATATATTTTTGTGTAGACAGTAAATGTACATGTATACCTTAAAAACTTTTGAAATAGTGTTTTACAATCCTTTTTTTCATGTATGTATTTTATTAATTTTTGAGCAGAAAAGAAGAAATAAACCTATATGTACATCTATTGTGAATCTCTTAAAAAAGATTATCTTTAAAAACATGACAATAAAACTGAATAGCTACGTAATATGTGCTAAAAAGATGATATTTCTTTACATATCTTGATTACAACAGGCAGAAATGAGACCATGAAAGAGGTGTCATTTTTTCATAGAAATAAAGGGAAAAATTCAAGTGAATAAAGTTTTCAATCTTAAGACATCTTAATGTAGTACATGTAAATATTTGCTCATAATGATATCTACGGCAAAGATGGAGCTAAAAAGAAAACTGGGAATTCTACATACAGATTTATAGAACACATCTTTTAAACGCTAATGCTTAAGACTGATAAGTCACAAGTTGTAAAGCTAACATGCAAGCATTCCCTTGGAGAATTTTCATGTCTTTCAAAGACTATTCACTGTACATTAATTGATTCTAAAAAGGGATTAGAATGTTAAGGGAGTTTGGTATCATTCTCTTACTAAATACGGGGCTACATTCTGTCAAATTTTATTCAAGCATCATCATTTAGAAGTTTGAGTTTATTCAGATCACGATTGCCGGGTCCAAAATGGAGCCAAACTAGGCCCACTTTGAAAAAAAAAATATGCAAACGTACATGTACGCATATGTATTTTTTCTAGATGACTATGGGGTCAGTAAGTGTTAAAGTTTAATGCAAGTATGCATATTTTATGCTGCTTCCCCATCATTCAAACTATCTAGAAATTAATTCATCCACTGTTTTCTGAATTGAGCATTTGCCAGCTGCAGGAAGGCATAAATAAACACCGCAAATTATTTTCCAGTTACAAGAATCCCAAAATATATTCAACTGCGTAAACCTTCAAGTACCCTATATGTAAAATTGTTATAGAATTTTAGTTTATTTAAACACTATTTTGTAGTTAGGGATCCAAAATGTAGATACAGTGTCCATCTCCCGGAAGCTTCATGGCACACGGCGTATGATGTCTGCGCTTCGAGTAACAGGACATTAGCAACAATTACATCCCTAAATGAGATGTACATTATAGAGCTAGTTCTGGAAGAGGTTGATGCTTTGTTTGAAATAAAATCCAGCTTCAGGTATCTTTAATCTTTACTTAGCATTAAGGATAATTTTAGAATGACTATTATTTTTATCTCAATTCTTCTACGTTATCCAAGATTTACATCAAATGTCAACAAAATTGAATTGAAATCATGATACTAGTTTTATTTTAAGAGTAAAATAATGAGTTGTGTCCAAGACACGATGTAGTTACGATCTCGACAAATTACTATTTTATAGTTTGCTACATTATTTCTTCATACTTATGTGTATATTAGAATACTTTCTGTTTATGAAGTTTTCCTTTCTGTCCCGATATCATATCGAATCATGACTGTTCAATGGATTATCCCCCCCCCCCAAAAAAAAACACTGGCTTTTTAACACGTGAATACTATCACTTTATGAAGTTTTCTTTATAGTGTCGATATCGTCGACACCGTCCATGTCGTGGTATGTGTGTGTCTATGTTTAAAAACTTAACATTAAAAAATTTAATTTTTTAAATGTAGTTGCCATCGATATCGTCGATATCAACGATATCATTTCGATATCGACTCATTTTTGTCATCGCTCATGTGGTTGTGTTTTTTTTTATGCAAGACTTGTACGTATGTACTTTCCAAGTACTAAGTTTGCTCTGCTGTCGATATCGAATCGAATCATGATTGTGCAAGACGTGTTTTTACCAACTTTCACCCTAACCTTAGCCTAAAACCTTATCCTAACCCTAAAACTTGAAAATAACGACCCCTAACCCCTATTTATTTGCATAAACATGTCAAAAACGATCCAATATCGACATTGTTTGTGGTATTATGAAATTATGTTATACATAAACTTGAAAATGAATTTTACAGATCAGGATCAAAATCGATATGATATCGTCATGATATTGTCGATATCGATTATATCGACATAGCACTTATTCTTATGTATGGTATCCAGTAATTCCAATTTCAGTATACTGATTTGGATCGACATCGATACGATATCGACACGATATTGTCGATATCGTCGATATCGACATAGAATTCGTTCTTGGACATGTATGAAAATAATTAATTGTGAAATATGTTTTTTAAAGAAAATTCACAGGAGTATGGATTGGGGCTTTTATGAGGTCTTCTAACTATGAGAGCATGCTACAAAATTGTAAACATCTTGATTCCGATATTCCGGTTAAGATAACCGGAGTAAGTCCGAGTGATATATCTTGTCTTTACTACAATCTAACAGAAAAGACCCTTGTTGCCGAAAAATGTTCTAAAGCAAAGATGTTCATCTGCGAAAGAAATGATGAAGGTATTTTTTTTCTAAGATTAATTCGAGCTCTGTTGCAAAGGATTAAAATGATCCAAGCTTAAGAGATAAAATATATCGTTACACCACTTTAACCTTTCTGGTATATCATTTGCCTTAATGTGAATTTACATTTAAAACTGGGTTAGATGTCAGAGACGTTGAAAAACTGCACAATTCTATTTATTCTATTATTACACTAGTTATTTTTCTTACTATTTAATCCTTTCAACAAATGATATAATGTAAACATCTTGTAGATCCTGGAGAATGCATGCTAGAGACACCAACATCAACGATACATCAGCATTTCCCATTTAACTTGTGCTATAAAGAAATTTCGAATAAAATATTAAATTCAAGACATTGCGAATCAGAATGTATGAATAAGGAGTTTTGTTATACATTTTTATACAAAATGGAAAATGGAGGTTGTGAACTGTACCATTATAAAAATGACTCGTCCTGTAGTTTTGGTCGATACCCTCCGCAAACACTTAAACACAAAAGTATGTATCGTACTACATAATTATTATTGTAATTCTAATAGTGAAAATAAATCATTCATTTCGAAATATCACCTGCTTTGGGTGTAATGCTATACTTAAGAGATTCTAGTCCTAGACAGAAGTGTCGAGATGATAGAGGTATACAGTCAATAAGTCCATATGGGAATCGAAGTTTGAAATTTTAAAACAGCACCATTTAAAACTTTTTTTTCATATTCAGTGATTTGCGTCATTCAATGTAACTTTTCCTTTTATATATATATATATATATATATATATATATATATATATATATATATATATATATATATATATATATATATATATATATATATATATATATATATATATATATAATTTTAGGTTTATTCCTATACAGCAGATCTGACTATCCGGAATCAGACGCTAAACCGTTCTCTGTTTGGTGTCCAGGTACATGTATTTACATATTTATTTTTTTTAAAAGAAAACCTAGCTTTTATGATTTTTCACAATATAGAAAAATTTATTTTTAACAACAGCCTTTTTGACTGATTTTTTATAGAAATGACAAATATAATAATCCCTAAAAATATGAAATAGTAAGTTTTCTTCGTTGCTGAAATGCGCGACTTTGAATCATATTCTATCAAGTTATTCTATATGAAAAAAAATTGCGCACATTTTTGAAGCATTATTACAAAATCTTACAGAATTTCCACACTTACTCTGGCAAACATTATTCAGGTTATCTATATGAAAATCAATCTATGAGATATATTGCTCGTTTTTGAAAAATAGATTTTGATCTCTAATTTATCCTCATCACTATATATTTGATCAAATGTAAAAAAAAAATAATAATAATAATAATAAAATAAAAGACATTTCTATAAAGCAGTTCTGACATTTCAGTACTTTGGGTTCTGTGGTCAAAGGGTACAATGGGCTCATTCAAAGACACGGGTCATATACTTATTTGAATTTCAATGTATTATATTTATAACAGAAGTGACCAAAGAAGTTATCCAAAAGAAGATTGCAAAGACTCGGAAGAACTTGAAAGTCAATCGAAACGAAACAAGCCAGTACATTCGCACTTTGACAAGTGCCCCGGATGAGAGACTCTCCTCCAAAAACATTGGAGTCGTTGGTGCTTTTGTAATAAGTGCAGTGTGTAGTCTTTTTTTCATCTCCGACTGCATCAACTTTATCAGGGGACCTTGACAAGGGAATTCAAAATAATCGTGTATGCGCCAGAAATCAATGACATTTTTTTTAAATACTGGAATCTACTTGCTGAGAGAGAATCAATAATATCTATTAATTTGCGTAGTGATTTATCGCTTTTTGTATATAAATATAAATCAATGCTTATGTCATATTTCATATGTACATCTGATAATCTTCTTGCAACAAATAGATTTTTTCAATATCCAGTCTCTTTTAATGTCTTTTTTTACTATACAGTACCAAAAAGACCCAACCTGACACCTACATGTATATGTGAGGTATTTGGTGACTTGCTAGATCTGTTTCCCGTTTTATGCATTCCGAAGCGTTTTAATCTCTTTGAAATGGATAAATTAATAAAATAAATGTCTTGTAAAGGGGAATATGACGAGGAACCATCAGATTTAAGTCATTTCTCTATTGTATAACATTTTGAGGAAAATGTTTTGTTTTGGACAAGTTTTTAAAAAATTGATTGCATTATTTAAAATATCACAAAACCCAAAGGTATAATATGATTGTCTTCATGAGAAAGTGATATTATAAGATGGGGGTAAGAAGTTGGAATATTTTAATTATCACCACTGATAAACGTAATGACCCGCGATAAAGAAATGAGTTTTGAAAACCAGAAACATGCAAATTACCTACTAGTGGGTTATCATTTTTCGCCTCGCCACGTATGAAATTTACTAACTAGGTATCATACCGTACCCTGTCACTACAAAACTATGTTACTAATAATACCAGGTCTATTCTTCTGTAATAGCAGAATTTTTCACATTTTTCTACTTAAAAAAAAAATTATATATACACAGGGTAATGCTCAAGATCAATGTGTTAAGGTCAAAGTATATGTTTTTGAAAACAATAAATAGATACAATGAGGTCACGTCCTTTAAATAGTTTAGTGCGTGATTTTTTTTTTTTTTTTTACTTCGTTATTTTTCACAAAGAACAACATGAAAAGGGGCCATTTATTTTGAAATCATCAAAGATCTTAGATTTGAAGCCAAGAGAGTTATCGCACTTAGGCTATTCTTCTTCGATAACTGGCACTTACTGCACATAGCAGTAAATGCAAATATCTCGAAAGAATAAACAATTCAGAATGGCAGTATCTGTCATGGCTTTATTCTTGTTTAACATTATAAGGTTTTTTTTTTCAAAAATGACGTAAATCATTTAAATGTAATGAATATTGATCTAAATATTTTATTTCAAAATCAGAATTGCAAAGGACAGATTTATTTTTAGAATTAAGACAAAATACTTATTAGTCTGGGATAGTCTTTGAACAGGTCTTTTTCATGTCCTATATTTCTTTGATTTCAAAGTTGTAAGGTTATCTGCTTTAGGGAGATCGCCTACCTTCTTTTTGTTTGCCTTTATCTTTGGATTTTATTTTTAGAAATAATGTATTTCAAAGAAATGAAGTTTTAAAAGAAAAATATTTTACTTTTTAATTCATATAGAAAACAAAGGTTAAGAATATGATAAATGTTTTGACGATATTTGTTGGAAAATGATGTAGACATCTATCTCCAAAATCACAGAAACAGAACTAGAAGCAATCAAATAAACCGTTCCATCAAGGAATCGTGTGTAACACACACTGCGGCAGAATTCATGAAAACATCTTCCAAGGATGTACTCAAAAAAGGGGCATGAGTAGTATAACTCACACAACAAGCAGAAAAGGGAAAGTAAACCTACAGAAAAAGAACAACATACGCAAACAGAAAACTCTGATACATTGCAAGAAGTCCTCTCTAGAATTTGCAATCTGTTTTCAACAAGAAAATTAAAACATAGAAATATGCATAGTAAAAGAAAAAAAAAAAAAAAAAAAAAAAAAACAAGACAATAACTTTTGTTCTGAGGACTATAATCAACATCAAACTGATTCCATTTTGAGAGATATTCAGGAAAGACATCTTAGGCATGAGTTAAGAGTTAAGAGTTTTCTCAAAAATATTTCAAATTTTTTTATGAAACCTATTTACAAACATTCAAAAGGATACCGCCTGCATATCAAAGCCTATCTTTTAATCCACTCTTCAAAAAACTTTGATGAATATGAATGTAAATCAATCTCTCATTCTCAACTGATCTACATCATTGACAGGTAATGTGCATTTCAGACATGGAAATAGAAATAATTCAGATTGGATCATACAATAATTTCCCAAAATCAAACTATGTAATTACCGTCAGGCTTGCAAGAAAAAAAGTTTTTTTATTAGACAAAGTGATTTGTTTTGCATGTTGGATTTAACGAAAGGAATGATATACTTCTGATGATCCGCATTGATATTTTCCAACGCAGTTCAGAGGTTTATATTACGTGGTTCACAATATCTTTGTAATACATCTTCATAACAGAGATCACATGCATCACAGAGATCACATGCTTAGTAGAACATCTTGAGCGCAATATTTAGAGTCCATTTTTGTGCAACAGTCATTCAATTTGATGTTTCTATTAAGTCTGAAATCTGCTTAACTAATAGGAATAACACAGAGTGTACAATGTATACTTCATATGAGGAAAAAACCCGTATTTTACTGTAACCCCCAACCCCTCACCCCCACCCCCCAAAAAAGAAACTGTAAACGTGTCTTTTCAGAAAAAAAAGAACCATCACTTAAATTTCTTTTATAGAAATTGCCTATTAAAATTTACATTTAAGAAATCCTTAAACCCCAGCCCCAAAATTAGCAGAATATAATTTTAGACTTCATTTTTATTTTATCTGCTGGTTCAACATGTTTTTCCTCGGTATGCAACGATTAGTTTGTGAAGTCACTTGAGTCAGGTGATTTTGATAACTTTAGGAGGGCACTATTTCAAGAACCAAAATACCTGTCCGTCCGGCTTTATCACCGATGGTAAGAAAGATAATGCTTTTTTGTCATTGACAAGGAGATTCTTATCCATATGCTGCGATTTTTAAAATGTAATATGTATAATATACAGCTGTATTTTACTTGAAAAACAAACCGTTCCCGTTTGTTCCTAGCTACGAAATAGGTCAAAATAACACTGATCGACCTACAAACAATACAAATGTATGAAGAACCCATAAAACACGGAGCCTTGGAAATTCCAGAGGTGGTATTAGGTGCCTAGGAGGAATAAGCATCACCTGTCAACTCGTAACACTCCCTAATCCCTATGTATAGATCAGGTAGACAGAATATCCCTAGTCAAATTTAGTATAAAACAAAAACCTGACAATTGGTTGGAAGTATGTCAATCAAAATACGACCCAGTGTTTGGTTGTATTTGCTAACAATAGCAAGGTCATTAGAAGACTATAGAAATTACGAAATGTGGACTTTAAACGAAATGTTGAAATTCCTGTAACATCAACATATTGGCAATGGCCTGTCTCGGTTTAAAGATTGATTGTACTCAGAGTATGCTCCTGAGTATTGAATATCGATTAAGTTGGTAGACATAAACACCGTACGCAGGTGAATATTACTGAACATATAAGAAATGCTGATGTCATCTCGTTTGTCATACATGTACAGTTTATTTGTTACTTGGCCCTTATCTCGTCTAAATCCAGTTTATAGTCAGTAACACATACAAATATGAAGCAGATGTGGCAGACTTTTTGGTGTCTTTTATTTCGCGTTCTTTGGGATATATCATATGAATGAAAGACGTCCAAATGAAATACGCCTGAAATATTAAGAAAATGTATACAATAATAATAAAAAAGTAAACAAAATAAATTTTGATGCATGGGAATTCTGCCTTCTGCATTTGTATACATCTGGTCTCTGCTGAGTTCGGCCAACGCGAGATCACTAACATCAGCTCTTCCTCACGTGACAGGTTAAAGGTAGAAAATCTATGTAAAGCACAAAGATTGTTAACGTTCAAAGATATTCGGATATCTTTTTGCTCTGAGATTGATTTTCTTTGAGACAAATTTCTCAACATAAAAAGGGAAGGGAATAAGCTTCTCGTATTCGAGAATGTCTGAAACAAAAACCTATTGCCGAAAGAAAGTTAAATACGAAAGATTGACTTGTATTTCAAAATTTCAATGTGAGAAGGTAATTTTCCTACGGCAGTTGACGACGTGCCTTTTCACACTGATTTTTTAAATTACACGATTTTTACGGAAAATGAAACAACTGAATTGTTTTGTAAGTTAAATGATCTAGAATTCGACATTAAATTATGCAATTGTACGAACCAAGGACGTTTAAGGTTAAGATCTAGTAAATGACTTCAGACTGTCTTCTTGGTGCTAGATACATTATAACTTCATAATCAATTTAAACTTTCTTTTCCCGTACTGGTTTTCTTAATTTTTTTCATTGAAAATGTCAGTTTAAAACATGATCTTTCGTCTTGTTTACCTACAAATTATGCCCCAAAACACTCTATCTGACTACGCTATAGTTATAAAGCATCATAAAAGGAATTTATTTCTCAAATTTGAGAAATATGTAGGCTCATTTCATTTACTAAATCTTGACCTTAATAAGAACATTTTTACTGACCCGACGATACTTTTTAAATCTGTACCTATGACTATGGATTATCTGATTAGGATTAGAATGGTCAGAACGCTCTGTAACATTTTCATTTTCCTATGCTATAGTTTACACACATTATATATACTTGCCATGACTGCCAGTATGTATTTTCTTTCCATATAAAGGAAATCATAAAAGTATTAAAAATGAAGGATTGAATCGCTAAAAATATAGCTTCATATTTCTTTTCCTCAAAATTTGGTATTTATTGAGATGTTTCCAAAGAATGTTTTCTTAAACAAAATGATAATATATAATCAAACATTGACTTAAATATACATGTATCTTTAAGGTTATACTTATTCTTAATAAAAAGAGACGCATAGGATCGTAGGTGTAGTAATCCATATTTATTTTTGAATACACCTTGCTCGAGGTTTATTTTTATCTATAGAATATACGACGCGTCGGAACCTGCTACAAACGATAAA